CTCAGGTCATGGTCTCGGTCCTGGGATTGAGCCCCACATCGGGCTCCCTGCTCAGTGGGGAATCTGCTTCTCCCTCTCCCCCTCAACTTGGGAGCTCTCTCTCAAATAAATAAATAAATAAATAAAATCTTAAAAAAAAAGATTAGCTCATCAATTTCACCTGTCGTATTTTCTCATCTACATCCTATAAGATCATACATGTCCCTTTAAGTACTAGAAAGTAGTTATTTTATTATTGTTTTTTGGTTTTTTTAAGATTTTTTTTTTTTTTTTTTTTTGAGAGAGAGAGAATGAGAGACAGAGAGCATGAGAGGGAGGAGGGTCAGAGGGAGAAGCAGATTCCCTGCCGAGCAGGGAGCCCGATGCGGGACTCGATCCCGGGACTCCAGGATCATGACCTGAGCCGAAGGCAGTCGCTTAACCAACTGAGCCACCCAGGCGCCCCTATTTTATTATTGTCTAATAATATTAATAAAAATATCTTCTAATTTCCATTCTTAGACACATGGGTATATAGAAGTACATTCCTTTCTCTCCTCAGGTTATACTTTTTTAAATATCGGAGAATCATCGACACACAATATCCTATTAGTTTCAACTAAAGATCATCATATTGATCTTTTTATTGATCTGGATATTTTTATACATTATGAAATGATCCCCACCATAAATCTAGTATCCTCTGTCCCATACAAAGTTATTACAAAGTTACTGACCATATTCTCTATGCCGTACATTGTATCTCCATGACTTCTTTATTTTATAGCTGGAAGTTCATACCCCTTAATCCCCTTCACCGATTTTGCCCATCCCCCCACCCAGTCCCCTCCGGTAACCAACCATTTGCTTTCTGTATGTGTGAGTCTGATTCTGTTTTTTCTTCCATTTTTTTTGTTTAGATTCCATATACAAGTGAGATCGTATGGTATTTGTCTTTCTTTCTGACTTATTTCACCTAGTGTAGTACTGTTGACGTTGATCCATGTAAGATTTCATGGTGAGATGGCTGCATAGTATTCCATTGTGTATATACCCCACATCTTCTTTATCCATTCTTCTATCATGGACACTTTGGCTGCTTCCATTGCTTCCCTTTTCTCCACATCCTCGCCAACTCTTATTTTTTTGTCTCTTTGATAATAGCCAATCTGAAAGGTGTGAGCTGATGGCTTACTGAAAACTACAATAAGGGGCGCCTGGGTGGCTCAGTCGTTACGCATCTGCCTTCAGCTCAGGTCGTGATCCCAGGATCCTGGGATCGAGCCCCGCATCGGGCTCCCTGCTCAGCGGGGGGCCTGCTTCTCCCTCTCCCACTCCCCCTGCTTGTGTTCCCTCTCTCGCTCTATCTCTCTCTGTCAAATAAATAAATAAATAAAATCTTTAAAAAAAAATACAATAAAATCAAAACTAGATTGGTATTTCCCAGATGATGAGTGATGTTGAGTCATCTGTCTTTTCACGTGTCTGTCGGCCATCTGGATGTCTTCTTTGGAAGAATGTCCATTAAAGTCCTCTGCCCTTTTTTTTTTTTTTTTAAGTAGCCTCCACACCCAACGTGGGGCTTGGACTCACAACCCCGAGATCAAGAGTCACATGCTCTTCCAACCGAGCCAGCCAGGCACCCCCCTGCCCATTTTTAATCAGGGTGTTTGTTTTTAATTTGTGTTAAGTCCTTTGTATATTTTGGCTATTAACCCCTTATCAGATGTATGATTTGCAAATATTTTCTCCCATTTCCTAGGTGGTCTTTTGTTGATGGTTTCCTTTGCTGTGGAAAAGCTTTTTAGTTTGATATAATCCCATTTGTTTATTTTCTCTTTTGTTGCCCTTGTCTGAGGAGACTGGTCCAAAAAAACATACCGTTAAGAATGATGTCAAAGAGCTTACTGCCTATGGTTTCTCTGAGTTTGACAGGTTTGGGGTCTTACATTCAAGTCTTTAATCCATTTTGAATTTATTTTTGTGTACGATGTAAGACAGTGGTCCAGTTTCATTCTTTTGCACCTAGCTGACCAGTGTCTCCAAGACCATTTATTGAAGAGACTCATTGTGTATTTTTGCCACCATTGTCCTAGATTGGCTGTACACGTGTGAGTTTGTTCTGGGCCCTCTATTAAATTCCATTGATCTCTGTGTCTGTTTTTACGCTGCCTTGATTACTGTGGCTTTGTAGTATAGTTTGAAATCAGGGACTGTGATACCTCCAACTTTGTTCCTCTTTCTCCGGATGGCTTTGGCTATTGGGGTCTTTTGTGGTTTTATACATATTTTAGGATCCTCTGTTTTATGAAAAATGCCACTGGTATTTTGCTAGGGATTGCACTGAATCTCTAGATTGCTTTGGGTCGAATGAGAATTTTAATAGTATTCTTCCAATCATGAGTACAGAATATCTTTCCATTTATTTGTGTTAGAAGTACATTTCTGAATTTCTAAGCATACAAAGATTTTTCTTGTTCTGTTTTCCTATTAATTTCTAACTTAAGTGTACTGTGGTCAGAGAATATACTGTATTTTCAATTTTTGGAAGTTGGTTGAGACTTGTTGTAGGGCTGGCTTTTGTAAATGTTTGTGTGCTTTGAATGAATGTGGATTTGGCAGTTCTTACAGTTTTCTCCATGTCTTTTAGGTCCAGTTTGTTCATCACATCGTGCACATCCTCTTTGCCCGTAATCATTTGTGTTTGTTCTATCAGTCACTGAAAGGCATAGTAAAATATAAATATATTTATATTATATATGCTATATTTTAAGTATAAGATAAATATGCAATAAGTATACCACATTTACACACTATAATCAGTAATCTTATTTTTTTTTAAACTGAGCTTTATGTCCAGCATGGGGCTTAAACTCATGACCCTGAGATCAAGAGTCGCATGCTCAACAACTGAGCCAGCCAGACACCCCCAGTAATCCTATTCTGATTAAAGATTTATCTGTTTCTCTTTGAAGTCATGTCAGTGTTTGATTTACATATTTTGAGGCTATGTTATTAGGTGGTAAGATTGACACTTGCTATTATTTCCCTGCTATTTTTATCATTATGAAGTAACCCATTTTTCTATCTAGTAAATGTTAATATATTAATATAGTTTTTCTTTTATTATTTGCATGTTGTATCTTTTCTATCCTTTTACTACTTTTTTTTAAAGTAATCTCTACACCCAACATGGGCCTCAAACCCACGACCCCAACATCAAGAGTCACATGTTCTACCGACTGAGCCAGCCAGATGCCCAATCCTTTTACTACTTTAACTTCTTTATTGTGAATCACATACATATAATGTTAGTAAATAATTATAAACCCTATGTCTGTGTTGCCACCATCCAGGTTTCCAGCCTTATCTTTCAGCCACTCTGTGTCCTTATTTTAAGGTATATCTCTTGTAAATTGCATCTAGATGAATTGTTGAACTCACAACTCCAAGATTAAGAGATGCATGCTCCACCAGCTGGGCGCCCCCTTTCTTGTGTCCTTTTAGACTGACATTTTATCATTCACTGATACACCCCTTTGTAGGTTTGGAAGTTAGTTAGGTTTTGTTATAGAAATTTCATCAAAATCACAACATGTATCCTACTTTACCAGAATCTGAAGCTTAACCTATACTATATCTACTTTTTTGAATAATACAAGGACTCTAGAAATTTTTCAGCGGAGCTCCCACCCTGAGTTATTGTGCTCATGTATTACAGTCCTGTCTTTTTCTTTTATTTTTTTAGGGGATGGGTAAAGGCAGAGGGGGTGGAGGAGAGAGAGAGAGAGAATCTTAAGCAGGCTCCATGCCCAGCGCGGAGCCTGAGGCCAGGCTCAATCTTAGGACCCTGAGATCATGACCTGAGGGGAAATCGAGAGTCTGACAGTTAACCAACTGAGCCACCCAGGCGCCCCCTACAGTTCTATCTTTTCAAAGCTCTATGAGCTACTGCTGGTCTGTTTACCCAAGGACTTAACCATCCTCTATTCGCCTTTCCTTTTTTTAGACTCTAACGTTCTGTGTTGTTTTTCTTCTGTCTGAAGCACATCCTTGCACTTCCTTTAGTGATATTTTGCAGAAGTCAAACTTTTTAGTGGTCTGAAAATGTCATTCCGGAATTCTTGAAAGATATTTTCACTGGATTCTGGAATAGCCATTATTGCCTTTCAGGACCTTAAAGGTACCTTTCCCGACTGGCTTCTGGGTTCTGTTGTTCGGTAATTTTCCCTCCCCTTCTGGATCCTTCTAAGACTTTTATTTCTCTTTCTTTGGTGTTCTACAGGTGCTCTGCCCACATTTTTCTCTCACTTTACCTTCTGTAAATTTAAATATGTGTCTGGGCCTTTGTGTCATTTGGAGGAAATCAAGCCACGTCAGTGTTGTGGACGTTTTCCCCTCTAGTTTCATCTAACAGTTTATAGTTTTCATTCTTACATTTAGGTCTTTGATCTACTTTTGAGTTAATTTTTGTATAGGGTGTTAAATAAGGGTCCAACTTCATTTTTTTGCATGTGGATATCCAGTTTTCCCAGCACCGTTTATTGAAAAGACTGCCCTTTCCCCATTGAATCATCTTGGCACCCTTGTCGAAAATCATTTGACCATATAAAGGGTTTGTTTCTGGATTGATATGTAACTTCTTCAGGATTAATTAAACTGGATCCCTCACGCATATTCATAAATGTCATGGTGCTTTGAGTCATTAATTCCAGGATTCGGGACAAGCTGTGTGCAGGGCTGCTGGCCTCACTCAGACGGGAGGCTTGTTGGCTGTTCTTTCTTTAAGGCCTAAAATATACTTAATCAGATGTTTTTCTCAAAGTATTTGTATGTAAAAGTAGTTCACTTTGCCACTTCCAGCGACATTTAGAATGGTGAAACAGTGACTGATATTAAAGAATCCGATCTTCTAGTTCTGCTCCCCCAACCCTATTCCTCAAAACACACATCCTAAACATGCCTCCTTGAAGTATTTCGTTCCCTCCATAACCCTCTGCTTTGTCTTGATTCGTTGACAGGTTGTGACATTTTTCTCTCGTCCCAGCTGTGTGGACAGTGCCACACGCCCTCCGAACAACAACGGCTCTTGCGTGCATCTTTCAGTGTTTCTTTTGTCAGAGAGCCCAGCAGAGCCACCAGCCTTCCAGTGCCAGCCCTGAGCTGAGCGAGGAGTGCCCAGCCGAGATGGTGAAGATGACAAAATCCAAAACTTTCCAAGCTTATCTGCCAAACTGTCACCGAACATACAGCTGTGTCCACTGCAGAGCCCACCTGGCCAATCACGATGAGCTGATCTCCAAGGCAAGTGGTTTGTGTCTGGGAAATGATGAGATCCCCTTAAGGATGATCGTACCTACTCCGCGGACACACATTTAACCATCACATGACTTCCTGGGTCGGTTGTGTTCCTACAAGTCTAGAGCCTTCTGGGCAGCGTTGATGAAAGTTTTGTGCGTGACTGAGTGTGACTGCGCTGTGATCCTGGTGTGATGTCGGTCATGGTGTTTGCACAGTGGGTGGGTTTTGAGGGCTAGGCAGCTGGGATAGAAAATTACAAAAAGCAAGATGAGTAGGTTACTTGCCAGAGCAGTAAAGTTCATGTAAAACCAAAAAACACTGAAGGAACAAAGGAAGTCTAGAAAATCTGGGGAAATAGTTTAATAATAGGGAAATTAAGAAATGTTAACTCAGAATGCTTAAGAAGAAAACAGGCTATCATGGGGGAATGGGGGCAATTGGATCTTTTAGAAAAATACCCAGGAGGGATGCTGTGAACAGGCCCACAGCAGCTGCTCTGGGCACTCTGCAGGGCCTGGAACAGCCTCGTGGATGTGAAAAGAACAGTCCAATTCATTATTATTAAGTTGGACTTCTTTTGGGCAACATGTGAGGTCTGTGATCAACCACTTGTGAACATCCAAAACGATAGATGAGCGAGTGTGCCCTTGGGAAACTGGGACCGTTTTCTCCTACCCATCCTCAAGGGTCATGACCACACCCCCGCGCCCCCAATCCTCACAGGTCTCCCTTGCCGGGGCTATGTGAGCCTCCTGCTCCTTCAAAAGCAAAGTCCATCAGGAAGTTGTGCCTCTCGGGAATCTCTGCTTAGGCTTCCTGTTTTACTCAGAAGAACGCTCACCTGCTTGGGTTTTAACTAGGTGATCAGGGCCGGCATCGAAACCTAAATGCGGTGGAACAAGGCAGTTTCTGCCGTGGCTCCTTCGTCCATTCTCGGTGGCCTCCGAGGCAGGCTCCGGGTGTCACGGCGTCCGAGTTCACGGAAGGCAGAGCCGCTGCGGGGCCTCCCCGGGGAGCCGTGTGGCCTGCTCACCCCCCGGAGCCCGGACGGCGGCGCGGACCGGTGCTGAGGTGGGCCCGAGGGGGTTTGAGGTGCTGCCTTGAAGGAGCCCGAGAGCCGTGACGCTGTTTTCTGATTCCACGGAGAGTAGAGGCCCGCTAGGCGGATACAGCCGCGGCCTCGGCGGAGCATCCCCGGAGGAGAGCCCTGCCGGAACCTGGGCGCCCCCGGCGCATGCGCGCTGCCGAGACGCGTCGGGCCTCGCGCGCCGGCGGGCGGTCCCGGAAGCGGCCGCGTTTCCTTCCGCGCATTGTTTGCCCACAGCACTTGCCACGTAGAGCAGAGGCCGGTTCACCTGAGGGCAGAGGTCCGGACAGGGGTTCCCCGCATCCGGGTCCATCTTAGTCAGTGATGCCCTGGCCCAAGGGGGCCGTTCTCGGGGCGGGCGGGTCTCGTTGGCAGGCTCTGGTTTTACCTGTGGGCCACGGCCGGCGTGCCACCTGTTTCCGTGACGTGTTATCGGGCCGCCGCCGCGTTCGTGGGTTTCCACAGCGCGGATGGCTGCCGCCGTGCCCTTCGGAGCGCCAGCGTCCTGGCCACAGGGGCTGCGCGGCCCCCAGAGCCTAAAACGCTTCTCCGCGGGCCCGCATTTAGGGCGGTTTGCAGACCGCGCTCTAGTGTGACTTCCGTCTAAAGCCGAGCCACAGATCTGGCCACATCACTGATCCCAACCCTGTTTTAAAAAAAAAATAAGGATTTGGCGGGGAGGGGGGAGAATTTGCAGAGTCGGCAAGAGGATTAGGAAAATTGGTCTACAGAATTGAAGGCTGATAAGGATGTGTGGGGAAGCCCGTAAGTGGATTATTTGGTAAATTGGACATCAAGTAATATTCCTAATTCTAGAAAGCCACTTGAAAAGGAAACCCTTATAAAGGATTTTTCTCTTTTCTTTTTTAAAGATTATATTTATTTGAGAGAGAACGAGAGTGTGGAGAGAGTGTGAGTGAGAGAGAAGGGCGGGGGGGGAGGGGCAGAGGGAGAAGCAGACTCCCCACTGAGCAGGGAGCCCGACGTGGGACCCTGAGATCATGACCTGAGCCAAAGGCAGACGCTTAACCCACTGAGCCACCCAGGTGCCCCTCTTTTTTTTTTTTTTTCCTTTTTCCCTTTTTCTTTTCCCTCTTTTTTCTTTGAAAGCTGTGTATTTAAATCAGAACACTGCTCGCCTCAGGCTAGGTTATGCCGCAGTAACAAGGAGCCCCCAAACTGCAGTGGCTTAGTAGCTTAGCATAAGGGTCTCTGTGTTGCTCCAGCGAACGCGTATCCAGGGTCAGCAGGGGGCACTGCTCTCTGTACTCGTGGAAGGGACTGCGAGTCCTGGTACAGCTCAGTGTCACCTGCACGTGAGGCAGGGACGGATCTGCTTTCCCCTCCTTACCCCTGACTCCATTCCTTCTGCTTGTCTCTGTTAGTCGTGTGGCATACATGGTCTCTCTCTCTTCTATAAGAACATGGTTTTCCCTTTTCCCTTTTTTTAAGATTTTATTTATTTGAGAGAGAGAGAGCGCATAAGCAGGGGAGGGGCAGAGGGAGAGGGAGAAGCAGACTCCCCACTGAGTGTAGAGCCCAATGTAGGGCTCCATCCCAGGACCCTGAGATCATGACCCGAGCTGAAGGCGGACGCTTAACAACTGAGCCACTCAGGTGCCCTATGGTTTTTCCTTTAACTGAAGGGCCCCCACGACCTGGCATTTTATGGCTAGCTCTCCTTCATTTCCCAGGGTCTCTGACTTTCTCCCCATACCCTCTCGTGCCCAGCTGCTTCCGTCCCCCTCTTAATGTCTGCGTGAGTCCTGGACGTGAGTGCCCTTGTTTGCTCACTTGTCAGTGGGTATCGCTGTCCCACCTTTTTGCAACTGCAAACACTTACCGGTGACCATTCTTGTCACACTGTTCCCTATGCATTCTGGTTGTTTGTCTTGATAGTGAATTCTTGGGAGTGGGGCAGCTGGTCACACAGTGTGTGCCTCTTACATTTAGATATTGTCACCCTGGGCTCCAGTCAACATTCCTCACCCGTCTTTTGAATTTGTGCTGAGGTGATAGGCAAAAAAAAAAAGTTCTCTTGATTTGGTTATTTTTGAGGTCCCTGTGTTCCCCTCGGTCACTTAAGCCTGGCACCAAAGCGGACGAGCCCCCCCATCTGCCTAAGAGGGAACTCACATTCCCTCTTTTGCTGAGAGTGAAGGGTGCGGGCGCTAAGTCTGGAACTGACCCAACTGTACCCCATCCTGCCTCCTTTATCATCCCAGACTACATGAGAATGCTACAAGCTGTTTCTTAGCTTATAGCACTTTCCTGGGGGAGATGTCACTGGAAGGTCCCTTCCTCCAAGTAAGGGGTCATCTTGGGATGTGGTTTTGCTTTAAATTTCAGTGGAAAAGCATGGGAACATCCCCTCAGCCCTACTACCTGACCACGGTGGTGCTGCTTGTCCTGGCCGGGGGAATCGGGACGCTGAGCAGCCCCCCGGGGCTCTAGGAGCGCTGTGACTTCTGGGTCCTGTGTGGGGTCCGGGGTCCTGAGGGCCTATGGTCACTGCTCCTCCTGGGCGCTGCTCGAAACAGCCCACAAGGCGGCCCTTCCACTCACATTGAGGTCCATGACCTGAAACAGGCTCTCCACCTTCATCCCAAAATGCCAAACTTTTCATCTTACCGCAATAAATCTGTTAAAATCTTTTCTTCCTTGCAGTCTTTTCAGGGAAGTCAGGGACGAGCCTACCTCTTCAATTCTGTGTGAGTACTATTGCCATTGGCCATGTGGACATGCTGTGTTCATGGTCAGATCCCATCGAGCGCTTCTGTCCATCCCTGCACTTAATTACTCAAAGCCGGAATATGTAGATAGAATTCCCCAGTGGGCTAGAATGACCCAGTGGTTTTGTTTTGGGTTCTTGGGGTTTTTTTCTTAAGATTTTATTTATTTGAGAGTGAGAGAGAGAGAGAGAGAGAGAGCACAAGTCGGTGGGAGGGGCAGAGGGAGAGGGAGAAGCAGACTCCCTGCTGAGCAGGGAGCTTAACTGACTGAGCCGCTCAGGTGCCCCTGGAAGGACCCAGTGTTTTGATATGATCTTCAGGAATTCCTCTCTCTCTAGTGTGAGAGTTTGGGGGAGAGGTGTGCTCTTACCTGAGAATGAGCTCCCACACGCGGTGTGGTCTGTGACCCATTTGTGGTGGGTTTGATTTTGACCGCGCTCCATACAGAACTGTGGTCACTGTGAATCCCATGTTGGGATTCTCCTGGGGAAATTCTCCTGGGGAAATAGAGTTGTTCCTTCTCAAAGGTGGTGGTGGGCAGGGGGCGGTGCCTCTGGTAACCAGTTAGCTGGAGAAAGAACCACCCAGGGCGGGGTGGAGGGGGACCGGTGGAGAGTTGCGGGGGGCGGATCCTGAGCACTGTCCTCCCCTCCTCCCCTGCAGGGTGAATGTGGGCTGCGGCCCCGCAGAGGAGAGGGTCCTTCTCACTGGCCTGCACGCGGTCGCAGACATCTACTGTGAAAACTGCAAAACCACGCTCGGGTGGAAATATGTGAGTACCTGTCCACACCGGCCTCGCGGAGACTGCGCAGACTTACCACGATGAATAAAACACATGTCACAAACAGAAACAAAATTTGCAAAGGAATAAGACCTCCCGCTGGAAGTGTCAGAAAATCCGTGTTCTCGTAACAGAATCTCTTTTGAGCTGATTAAAGATGGAGGTCCCCACGTGGGCGCACCCGCGCTCACCTCACTCCCAGGGCAGGGGTGACAGCCACACTGGTTGGGGGAGCATGTGGCCCTGCCCTGCAGACCTGTGCCCTCCGAGGGCCCCCTGAAATGAGGGGAGTGTCCCCCACGCAGGTGGCTGGTGACGTTACTTTGCAGTAGTGACAGCAGACCCCACTGCGGTGCTGGGCACAGTTGCTGCCGGCCCACGGGGGGCTTGGCCCATGCACAGCTTCTGCCCACCCCCCACACACACACTCCCTGCTCCTGTTGTTCCCCACCCCTCCCGTTGACTCCCAAGTTTGTCCCCAGTGCCCCCGACCACCCCTGGTGGCATCCAAGAAGTGCGTGTGGGTGTAGCCGGTGCCTGCCTTCATTCAGTTGTCCTCTGCAGCCATTCTGGCCATCTTGGGCAGGGCCACCTGTGCTCCCTCCTCCTGGAATTGCTGATTGTTCCTGTTCTCCGTATTCCCCATCACACACAAGGAGACGCAGTCCCCAGTATGGAGATGGGCTCCGTGAGGCCTGCGCAAGAGTGTGCATGCACACACACACACACCCCACAAACACACACATATCGCCGACCCCTATTCTGTTCCACCCTCACTGCCCATCCAAGGGTCTTCTCTTCCTCCAGCATCTTGGAGGAACAGTCCCCAGGGTGCTTGGCATAGTGGCCTTCACTTGCCTTTTACCTGCAGTCCCTGCAAGGAGTATCTTGCTCCTCTTCCTACCTCCCAGATTGCCTTGCGCATGGTAGATGCTCAGGGACAAACGTGAATTACCCTTCCCCTGTGAGTTGATCTGTAAGGTAAGGAGGAGTAGAGGTGGGCTGTCCTGGCCCGCCCGGGCTTGTCATCGAGACAGATTCTTCCCCCGTCCCTGGTCAGCAGAACAAGGAACACCTGGGGAGACTTGATCTCATACACTTATCTTCTTTGCCAAGAGTGTAATGAGGTTGAAAAGTGAAATCGATTCTACCCTGAAACCTTCTTTCTACTTTTTTTCTTTTTCAAGGAACATGCCTTTGAAAGCAGTCAGAAATATAAGGAAGGAAAATTTATTATTGAGCTTGCCCACATGATCAAAGACAATGGTTGGGAGTAAAGTGAAAACTTTGTTCTCTTCTGAATACTATTTTGTGAAAGAGACTGTAAGCGTAACGGAGGCATCCTGGATGACAGTATTTCTTGAACTTGAACCTTACGGCGGGCTGGCCTCTCCCGGCCGTTCAGGTGGTAAGGTGTCCCTCCAGCCTCTCTCCTGTTCACGTACATGGCTGTTTCTGAAATGTTTCAATGACCTTTTTCTAACTTCTCAAGTTCTAGAGAAAGAATTAACCGATGACTTACCTGTCTAGTTAATACCTTCCTTTAAGCTATGCCTTTAAGATAGAGTTTGGCTGTGCTCCTTCATGTTTGATAGAAACCAAACCAAACTTCCGCGGACCACAGGGTTAGGGGCTTTTTGGGGAGCAAGCTCACTCCCCTCTTTTTTTGAGTGAGGGTACTGTAGGCCACTTTTTTTTCTATTTGTGAAACTACAGATGGGTTATTCCTCTTGCATATGAGCTGTTAAGGCATAGTGCTCATTTAGGAATCTTCCAGAAACAGTCAAGAAATCTATACACCAAGGGACCATTTTTTTTTAAAGCCTTGTTGAGAACTAGACGACATCACTGATTACATTTTAGATAAGCTATAAATAGAGAAATCTGTCTAATGGAACATCTTGTTTATTTAAGCCAACAGCCTCCTTATCTAGAAAGCGTCAGCAAAGACTGTCCTCGCGGGCCGCAGGTGCACATGCGCATAGGGCTGCAGGCCGGCAGGGCTCTGGAAGTGGGGCTTCTGTGGTAGGTGCTGATGGGGCGGTCCACGCAGTTAGAGGTTAACGCACTGGACTGAGTCAAATCGGATTTCCTTTTTTATTCTGTTGTACTTGAAGAAAATGAATTACTTTTGCATATGAAAGAGACCAGAACTAGCGGGATGAACTTCCAAACTTGAGATTTGGGAGATTATTTTAAAATTTTTTTCAGGAAAGAGTCAAGTTCCAAAACAGATTTAAACTTTGTAAATGAATATGGGTCTCCCGTGCCCCACTGGTTCTGTCCCTTGAGCTGACACAGAAGCGACTTGGGCGGTCTTCTATGCCCCGTGTCTCTGCAATGTATTTTAAGTTCTGATCCACCTGTGCCTCCGCAGGGAGAGGGCACGAGGCAGGGTTATGGCCAGTTTTCAGAGAATGGAGGCCAAAAATCATTCCCAAGTAAGTTTTGGTTTTCAATATTCTGACCTGACTCCGGCTGCTGGGCCCGACCTGCTGCTCCAGGAGTCTGGTGGGGCCTTGCGTGTAGCATGGCATGAAACTCCTGAGACCCCAGTGCTGGGGGACGGGAAAAGGGCCCAGCGAGGTAGGGAGAGAGAAGGGCAGCGCACCCCGGCCCGCGGCTCTGAAACCACCTGCAGAGAAGGTCAGCCCAGGGGCACGTGTGAGCTGGCCAGGAAGGGTGGGAGAATGGCTTCCGGTCCCTGGGAGGTCCCTTCCCTCCCCCCAGCCCTCCCCTGAGCCCAGAGCCCACGGCCCGGGCAGGCACTGGGCTCCCGACTGGTTCTGGCACAGCTGCCCCCCTAGAGCTTCCCTTTTGGCACCCTCTTTCTGGCTCAGAGCGAAGCCTTGGGATGTGGGGAGATGCGGCGCCCTGCTCCGGGCAAGGGGACAGGCGCCCGAGTTAGCGTACGCACGTCTCCAGGTGTCAAGGGCAGGTCTTCGTACAGCTGTGTGAGCCTCTGCGCGTGCAGGTACTCCAGCAGGCTGCTCTTCCCCGAGCTGGCGTCCCCCGCAGATTTCGGTTGTCCCAGCACAGTCCCCGTGTGTCTAAGTTCACGTTCAGCTGTACAGCCTTCAGGCGCCCGGGCCCGCAGGCGCAGCGCACTCGCTGCCATGCTCTGAAATCCGAAGACGCTACGCCCTCGAGCTGGCACGTGCAGCGTGGACATCTGCGGCTTCCGTCCTTAGTGGCCACTTTGAAGGGACAGAAAGGCCCTTTCATTGAGGAGTGAGTACTCATCATTGAAAACGTCGCCTAAACTGACATTTCCCTTCTCGTCTTAGTTCCTCCGTAAGCCTCTATGCTGCGCCCGAGGCCCAGAGAGGATGAGGGCCGGGGGGTCCCGGGGGTGCCGAGGGCAGGGCTCCCGAGCGCTTCCCAAGCTCACTTAAACTGAAGAATCTTCTCAAATTTTTCTGACCGAGTTTTGTGTATACTAAACCTATATTTAAAGCTTTTGTATGTTCTGGGCAAGTTTACTGCTCCTTCGATTTGAGCACTTTGGTTTTTGTATTGTCTTTTGTGATGGCATTGAAACATTTTTACTAGTGGTCTTCTGCCTTATTTTGTAATTTTTTTTTTGTAATTGATACCAACGAAAACTCTTACCACTTTTTTTGTTGGTCTTCTGAGAAATCCAAGCTCCTTTCGAAACCAAATGAACGGACCGTGAGCTGGCTTCAGGGAAGGACATTCATGAGACCACAACCAGATGTGCTGGTAAAGTGTTGGAATGTTCCACCCTCTTAAATTCCTAAACAGTAAATATCATCCTGTGACTTTTATTTAAATTATTTAAAATATTTTTTTCCTTAAAGAATGGGAGGTGATGCTAGGATCATAAATGCATTTAACTTGAACTATGTAGTGTTCTCTGGCACAGCACATCTGCTTTAGAAGTGTGGTTTAGTTTTGTTGCCGTTTTATATATACATATATATAGTATTTTTGTACCTAATGCTTATTCTTGATGGCATCTGTCAGATATTAGGCAAGATCAGACATGGGAATTTTTCCAAAAGCCCTTTAATTTACCTGAGGACCTCACCAGGTACTTATAAAATCCAAGTGGTTTTAATATCTAGAAAACTAATTTAAGTTCCAAAACGACCTACAGCAATGTAAACCGTCCTTTGTTAAAGGCTCTTGGGTGGACCTGCAGCCCAGGGTGGCCTGGCCGTCATGCCTTGGGCCAGGTAGGTGTGGCCGCTGGGCACAGCTGGAAGGACGGACAGATGGACAGCAGCCAGAAGGTTTGCCCCTTGGAGCAGGACTGCCACGCTCACGTGCACAAGCCTCCTTCAGCCTCCGTGTCCAGCCCTCTGTCCTCTGTCTTTGTGAGGTTGAACAATAAAGCTTCCACTCTCAGATGGTGTCCTTCCCCGTAGCACCTCCTGTCTCGGGCGCTCTGCTCTGATGCTGGGAGCTTTGGGTCTGGGGTCTCCGAGCTCCTCCTGTGGCCACTCCGGTCCCATGTGGTGACATGCAGCCTGCCGTGTCCCGGAGCACTGAGCCACCGGGCTCCCCACCCGGCAAGTCTGGGAGGAGGGTAGGGGGCTGGTGCACGTAGCCCGAGAAAGCCTCACCTGAGCTCCCCCCGCCCCCAAAGGCTGAGGAGTCCGGGAGCCTCCTGGGACCCTCCCTCTCCAGGGCCTCCACCCGCACCCTGAGCCACCAGCAGCTGTGCGTTTACACGGCTGTCCCCGCGCGCAGCCCTCTCCTGGGTGAACAGGCTCTTGGCATCCTGGGCACAAACACTGCAGTGTAAGCCTTTCAGCAGCTACCTGATGTCTCGGTGTAGCCGGGAGGGGTCGTGGTGAGGAGGTCGTGAAGGAGGACGATGAGGGCCTGGCCCCGGGCAGAGGGATGAGCGGGCGCTCTCTAGAGCCCCGGCCCCCGGCTGCAGGCTGCCACAGGCAGAGGACTGCAGAGGGACAGGGTGCACGGGGAGCACAGCCCTTGTTCTCCACACACAGGACAGCCCGTGACTGGTGTGAAGCAAGAGGACAACAGGCGGATGAGCTCTGGGAAGGGGGCCCAGATGGCACCTGCGTGGACGTGCACGAGGGGCTTGAACCGAGGCAGCGAGAGACCAGGCTTGGGTCTGGGGTTCAGCATCAGAGGTGGAAAAGGGGGAGCCCAGGTATGTTCTGGAGCCGCTGTGGACATCTGAGGCTTGGGTGAAGGAAAGAACCAAGGACCGAGCCTGAAGTTTGCAGTGTGACCAGCTGGAGGGGGTCGTGGCCCGTGCCAGCCCGAGGACGACAGGCCTTGGGAGTGGGTGTGAGGGGTGGACAGCTGTCGCCACGCTTCTGCAGAGGTGCTCTGGGAAAGCCGAGGTAGCGGCGTCAAGGTCAGGAGCAGGGAAGCCACGCTGGCACGGGCTACAGAACGAACAGAAAACAAAGGGCGGGCCTGCACACGTTAGGGTTTTTTTTGTTTTTTTTTTTACATTTATAGAAAAATAAAGTCAAGGGAAGGGATTCTTTAAGTCCGGAAACGCTGGTGAGGCCGGTCTGGAAGCCCTAGTGCTGGGGTGAGGGATCGACTGTTTGAGCACGAAGTCAGGCCCGGGGGGCGGGGGGTGGGCAGCTGCTCCCACGTGCGCTCTGCTTACCATCCTGGGGCAGGGGGTCCTGGGCACAGCCCCCACCTGGGCCGGGCGGCAGGAGCTCCCCAGCATGGGCAGCACGCAGGTGCAGCGCCCAGCCTGCGGCCCCAGGGGAGGAGGTCCGGGCTCTGCAAGCCGGTGTTTCTAACCAGGTCCCAGGTGCCCCACTGAGTAAACAGTCCCCGAGTCAAGGACGCAGACGGGGTGGGGGAGGGTAGGAGAGCCAGAGGCAGGAGACTGCCTTCCTCCCCGGCCGGGCTGCAAGGCGGGCCTAAGGGCAACAGCCCATGCCCGGCAGTCTGAGACGTGGGCTCGGGCTCGGCCCGGGGCCACTGTACCCGGTGAAGGCTGGGAAGGCCCGTGGACTCCGAGGGCCAGGAAAGGGGACTCGGGCAACAAGTAAGAGCTTTAGTGAGCTGTAGTCGGAAGGGCAGAGAACTCTGTGATGTGGACACAGGCCCCCAGCCCTGAGTCCCTCCGGGGCTCCAGAGGGGCCGACCTGCTGCTACCATGAGCTGAAGTCCCCAAAGCCTCGGCTGGGCTTCTTCTTGGCCACAGGGACAGCTGTGCTGGTGGAGGGCTCTTCCTCTGCTGCCCGTTTCCTGGAAAGCGGAGACTCGCTCTGGCTGCTGGGCGTGGACCAGTCCCCCGCGCTGGGAACCCACGCCCTCCCGCAGCACCTGCTCGGTGTGAGGTCACAGTCACATACGCAGCCCCCCCACCCCTGGGGTCCTCGTGCACGGTGGCACTCCCCCCCCCCCCCCCGGCACCTGCTCACCCCCCATGCCCGGTGCTCGCTCGCCACGGGCAGCGTCTGACCCGTGGGCACTGGGAGGCTGGGAGAGCAGCACGCAGACGGGACGCGCACCCTCACTGCACTCACGTGGCCGCTGGATTGATGTACTTGCCCACCCCCTGGCGGTACGTCTGGGGGCCCTGGCTCCCCGGCTTGGGCTGGTGGGTTTTTCCTGTGCTTTCTGGGGCTGCCTCCTCGAGCTGCGTCGTCTTGCGCTGCTCAGCAATCTGTGACGGAGCACGGTGACGGCTGGCCCGGAGCCCCGCAGGCCGGGCAGGGTCCCCGCAGCCCCTGCCCCCCTGGTGGCCCCCTCACCTGAGCATCGGCCTCCTCGTAGGGGTCCACAAACACCGTGGTGGAGTCGATGCGGATCTCCTCCTAGCAGCAGAGGGGGGCAAGTGAGGGGACAGCAGGAGGCAGCAGGCCCCTCCAAACCCGCCTGCCCGGTGCCCAGCCTGGGCGGCGATCCCCCGTTCTCTCTCGGCACATACCTTAGGGCGGTCGGTTTTGGGGTCGCTCTCCACGTTCTCCATGGCTGTCAGTGTGTCAAAGCCCCCAACAACCCTGCGGCCGAGGGACAGGGGTACCTCTGAGTGTGCCCCAGGGCAGGGCACCCCCAAAAGCCAAGTCCCTGTGGCATGGTGGGAAGAGGGGCAGAGGATGGGCCTGAGAAGGTGCCATAGGGATGAGAGGCCTGAGGTTGGGCGGGGGGGTGGTCAGAGCAGGGCCAGCGGGCCACAGTACTCGCACTGCTTCCATGCACCCTAGCGCTTTTTGTGTGACAGGCTGCCGAGCTGAGGGGTGTGACACGCCACGAGGCCACAAGCTGGAAATACCATCTGGGCCTTCATAGGACAAGAGGACAGAGAGGCGAGGACGTGCCCAGACTTGCAAATTGGACCCAGCCAGAGGGGAGCCCAAGGGGGGCGAGTTTGGACACAGCAGCTGGCCAGAGGGGGCTAGAGCGGCCCGCCCCTCGGCTGGCAGGTCTGCGGAGCCACGTCCCCTGGCCAACAGAAAGGCCCAAGTCCCCACTTCTGTGTGGCCGTGACCGCAGCAGTGATGGTTGTGGGGGCAAGCAGGCACTGAGCCAGGTGTGGGGGCAAGGCAGTGAGAGGGTCCCACTGGGGAAGAAGCCTACCCGCACCAGCACCCCAGATCTCTTACCGCCCAAAGATGGTGTGCTTCTTGTCGAGGTACGCGCAGGAGCGAAAGGTGATAAAGCTGGGCGAGGAGGAGAAGGGGAATCAGGAAAAGCCTGCGAGCTTCCCCCGTAGCCTGCTTAGCCCCCAAGACTTCTGGGCACACACCAGGCATCCCCATCCCCCCAAAGCAGCTCTGGGAAGCTGGAGTTCCTTGTGTGTGCGGCCCCCACACCCTGCCTGGTCAGGGCAGGCCGTCAGCCAAGGCCGCCCAGGGGACCGGGACCCCAGCTCTGCCTCCAGCCCCGGCTGCTGCCAGCTTCTGGCGGACAGACACTGCCAGAGCCCGCGGGCAGAGGGGGAGACAGGACACCTGAGCCCGTCCCATTGTGACAGCAGCTGAAGAAGCAGGGATGCTGAACTGAAAGAAAGGACACGGGCAGGAAAGGGAGCAAAGACGCCGAGGAACGTAGGTAAACACCCCTAAATGCTGACCTAGTAAACTTTCACATCGAATTTGGTATAGAAATGAGTGAAATTTAAATGTCCAGCTATCTGAACCTGGGAGCTGGCTGGGCTGGGGGGACGGCTCGGGCAGGGTCTGTCTATGAGAAAAGGAGAGAGAGATTAACTGGTAACTGCAGACTTTAAATCTACTTAAAGCCAGAAGTGACACTTAACTTCCACAGCAGGAGAAAAATAAGAAATGAAAAATTTAAAAAAAAAGGGGGGAGGGAACCAGGAAGTACAAATTAGGATAACAGAAAATATGGATACTGACTGGAAGTATGCACCTAAGACCGTCAGTTTGAATTAAAATAACCCCAAATCTAAGTGTGTGTCATTAAAAAGACGGCCCTAAAGCTTCGAGAATCTGGAAAGCTCCAAGTAAAAGAAAGGAAAGAGGTCTAACAAGAGATGGAGAGAAGCAGTGTGGGCAGGGCTGCCCTCCCGGGACACCAAACGATGCCGCCCACGTCCCGACGGCCCACGGCACGCACAGTCAGCAAGGGACAGAGGCCCTTTCCAGAAACCCACTCCATCGGGGACAGCACCACTTCTGAGCCCACCAGGCCTGACCAGACACGGCCAGCGGGCAAGTCTCCACAGACGCCAATGCCCACAAGTGTGCAGACCTGAACTCTGGCCACCAGGTGGGTCTCTCTGCCATGCGTTTCTAACACAGGTCGGGAAGCTTAAAAGGGAATGAAAGAGTCCTGAAGAGAAGGAAAGACAAGCAATAACAGGGCAAACAAAGATATACCAGAAAGGAAGTAAAGTCTATGATTCGTTCTTTGACCTAAGAAGACAGTGAAGCTGGGAAGTGCGTGCCCGTCAGCATGTGCAGACCTGGATATTTGTGGAGGCGGAACCTGAGAAAGGAGAGAAACCGGAGGAAGCCAGTGAAGATGGAAACAGAAGGAAATTACATAAAATAAAACCAGAAAAGCCCTCCGTAAACCATTAAGGAGAGCGGGAATGCAGACACCACGGAAGTTTGGAAAGCTAGAGATGGACCAGTTACATTCTGGCAAAACAGAAGCTACCCAGATGGCGCACAAAGTGGAACCCGACTAAGGAATTAGTGTGAAGAATGCGCAAAAGCTGTCCTTGGCAAGCTACCTTACCAAGCAGACCCCAATGTAAGCTAACCCTCCCCAGGCTGTGCACACTGGGGAGGGTTAACTTACATTGGGGTCTGCTTGGTAAGGTAGCTGACCAGCCAGCCCCGGCTCTGGGGTGAGGACTGTGGCACGCGGCCTAAAGCAGTGGCCGGTGGACCACCCGGTGCGGCGAGGACCAGCCCAGGTTTATTCCAGGACAAAACAGTGACAGCAAGGCTGGTCAACCCAGAGCTTCTATCCACAAATTCCAGAAGGAAGAGAAAACGCTCTGACCAGAGTAACAGATGCTAAGAGAAAAGCATCTGGAAACACAGCCTCTCCCAAAAAGTAGGCCCAGCAACAAATTTGATCAGATGGCAAAAGAGCATGTAACCTGGACAGCAGGACGCCCACGTCCTCTCCTTACAGGCCTGACCGGGAGGGGACTGGTGTTCACGCTGGAAGAGCGGAACACCACCTTGTGCTGATAAACGTGAGTATCTAGGAAACCCAAGACACTCTTAATAAAAACCATTCCAATTTTAAGAGATTTTAATAAAGCAGTTAGATCTAAAATCAATTTTTTAAAAAAAGGTTGTTTCAGAGAGAGAGTGCGTGCAT